ATTAAGCTTGGTTTGTTTGGATATGAAATTCTGGGTTGAAAATTCTTTTAAGAGATCCACTGTTAGTCTGATGAGCTTCCCTTTGTAGGTAATCTGACCTTTCTCTCTGGCTGCCCTTAACATTTTTTCCTTCATTTTAGCCTTGGTGAATCTGACGATTATGTGTCTTGGGGTTGCTCTTCTCAAGGAGTATCTTTGTGGTGTTCTCTGTATTTCCTGAATTTGAATGTTGGCCTGTCTTGCAAGGTTGGGGAAGTTCTCCTGGATAATATCCTGAAGGGTGTTTACCAACTTGCTTCCATTCTCCTGGTCATTTTCAGGTACACCAGTGAAATGTAGGTTTGGTCTTTTCATATAGTCCCATATTTCTTGGAGGCTTTGTTCCTTTTCATTACCTTTTCTCTAATCTTGTCTTCATGCTTTATTTCATTAAATTGATCTTCAATCTCTGATATCCTTTCTTCCACTTGATCAATTTAGCTATTGATACTTGTGTATACTTCATGAAGTTCTTGTGCTGTGTTTTTCAGCTCCTTCAGGTCATTTGTGTTCTTCTCTAAACTGGTCATTCTAGTTTGCAATTTCTCACACTTTTTTGCAATGTTCTTAGCTGCCTTGCATTGGGTTACAGCATGCTCCTTTAGCTCAGAGGTGTTTGTTATTACCCACCTTCTGAAGTCTACTTCTGTCAATTTGTCAAATTCATTCTCTGTCCAGTTTTGTTCTCTTGCTGCCAAGGAGTTGTGATCCTTTGGAGGAAAAGAGGCATTATGGTTTTTGGAATTTTCAGCCTTTTTGTGCTGTTTTTTCCTCATCTTCGTGGATTTATCTTCCTTTGGTCTTTGATGTTGGTGATCTTCAGATGGGGTTTTTGTGTAGATGTCCTTTTTGTTGATGTTGATACTATTCCTTTCTGTTTGTTAGTTTTCCTTCTAACAGTCAGGCCTCTCTGCTGCAGGTCTGCTGGAGTTTGCTGGTGGTCCACTCCAGACCTCGTCTGCCTGTGTATCACCAGCAGAGGCTGCAGAACAGCAAAGACTGCTGCCTGTTCCTTCCTCTGGAAGCTTCGTCCCAGAGGGACACCTGCCAGATGCCAGCTGAAGCTTTCCTTTATGAAATGTCTGTCCACCCCTGCTGGGAGGTGTCTCCCAGTCATGAGGCACGGGGATCAGGGACCCACTTGAGAAGCAGTCTGTCCCTTAGCAGGGCTCGAGCGGTGTGCTGTGAGATTTGTTACTCCTTCAGAGACGGTAGGCAGGAATGTTTAAGTCTGCTGAAGCTGCGCCCACAGCTGCCCCTTCCGCCAGGTGCTCTGTCCCAGGCAGTTGGGAGTTTCATCTATAAGCCCCTGACTGGGGCTGCTGCCTTTCTTACAGAGATGTCCTGCCCAGAGAGGAGGAATCTAGAGAGGCAGTCTGGCTACAGTGGCTTTGTTGAGCTGTGGTGGGCTCCACGGAGTTTTAACTTCCTGGTGGCTTTGTTTACACTGTGAGGGAAAAACCGCCTACTCAAGCCTTAATAATGGTGGATGCCCCTCCCCCCACCAAGCTCAAGCATACCAGGTCGACTTCAGACTGCTGTGCTGGCAGCGAGAATTTCAAACCTGTGGATCTTAGCTTGCTGGGTTCCATGGGGGTTGGATCCACTGAGCTAGTCCACTTGGCTCCCTGGCTTCAGCCCCTTTCCAGGGAGTGAAAAGTTCTGTCTTACTGGCTTTCTAGGCACCACTGGGTTATAACAAAAACTCCTGCAGCTAGCTCGGTGTCTGCCCAAACAACTGCCCAGTTTTGTGGTTGAAACCTAGGGCCCTGGTCACATAGGTACCCTAGGGAATCTCCTGGTCTGTGGGTTGTGAAGACTGTGGGAAAAGTGTAGTATCTGGGCCAGAATGCACCATCCCTCAGGGCACAGTCCCTCAGGGCTTCCCGTGGCTAGGGGAGGGAGTTCTCCCAACCCCTTGCACTTCCCAGGTAAGGTGACACCTCATCTTGCTTCTGCTCACCCTCTGTGAGCTGCACCCACTGTCTAACCAGTCCCAATGAGATAAGCTGGGTACCTCAGTTGGAAATGCAGAAATCACCCACCTTCTGCATTGATCTCACTGGAAGCTGCAGACCAGAGCTGTTCCTATTCGGCCATCTTGCCAGTCACCAAAATCATACATTTATGGTCAACTAATCATCCCAAGTCTCACACTGAGATACACAGAGCCTAAAGAGGGACAAGGAAAATCTTTCTTGGCATTGCACAGGTCCTCCTCCCTACTTCCTCCCTAACTCCCAGCCCTGGAGCAGAACTGCTTCTCAAAGCTGACCTGGCCTCCTTCCCTCCCTTCTTTCCCTGGTTGTCCAGATCTAAGAGTGATATTGTCCCTCTGCTGCCCTCAAACATGGCTCCTGACCTCTCCCTTTATATCTCATGATTGCTGGTCCTTGAGAGTTTCCCTGGCTCCCTGTCCCTTCTTCCCCACCAGTGTCCCATGTATGAACCCACAATGGTAGGAAGGATCAGGCAGCATGGAGGGAGAAGAGGAAGGCAAAGAAAACAAGAATGAGAATGGGAGGGCTTCACTGTTGAGCCAAGAACAGAAGTTTGTAGGTGACTCCTTCCTTTAAATGAGGAACAGCTTCCTCCCCAACATGGTCATCACCATGCCCACCTACCTACCATTTAGTTTTTTTCAAGGATTAAAGGGGAGGTAGCAAGGAGAGCCTTTAAATTACTTGACAAAAGACTAGGCCATGATTCCGTTTTGTTTATTCTTCTCTCCCTAACTCTGCCTTTCCACTCTCAGTTATTGTGCCTATTCCTCTGGGAACAGTGGAACACAATAACACTCACTACACCCTGTCTTTGGGCCCCTCCTCTCCTTCCCTGAAAGAATGGAAGTGGCAAAGTGGCAGGAGCAGGATTGGCCTGTGGCAGACGGAACAAGGCAATGAAGGAGGAAGAGGTTTCTTGGGAGTGGAGAAGGAGCTAGAAGGAACCCAAAAAGGCCCATGGGTAGAAGCCATGTCATTGTTTGCTGGGAGGGAAAAGGTGGAGACCTGAGTCTGGCATAGGGTAGGCTAGGCTTGCCCCACTCACAAGCTCTTGTGTCTCATCCACAGCAAGCAATGGCATTCTGCTCCCTGAGTCCCTGACTTCCAATCTCAGTCCTCACAAATGCATACAAGTGGAAAAAGCCTGCTGTCCTCTGCTCTCCCAGACCCTTTCTTATCTTTTTCTGCTCAGCTCATCTTCTCTGGGAGCACAGAGACTGGAAAACGAGTTCACACCCCCTCACACTTGGTTCAGGTCTTCAGTTCCATCTCTGCCTGTGGGATCAAGAGTTGGAGCATTCTGCCTCTTCACTCCATCCCATGAATGAATAATCTGTCCATTTCTCCAGTTCCTGAGCCTTTGTATGCTGTCTTTCTCTTGTGTCCTCAGAAAGGCAATGGAGCTCCTATTAGCCATGTGCTGAGAAGATGGTGGGCAGTTATGCAATAGAACAACATCTCTTCCCTTTATCTCATTCTGCCATTTATTTCCTTACTTCCCATGTCTCCATGGACATATGTTTCTCCTCTTTTTCTGAGCTGGCAAGGGATGACATGAGTAGTCAGGATGCATGGGGAATGTGGCCCTAGGAGACTGTCAGAGGGCTGAAAAGGCAGACTGGGCACTAATGAGTCAGCCAGGAGCCCTGATTTCTAGGTCCTGTTCCACAACCTCAGGGATAAGAATATGCTTTTTCCTGGAGCCCTTGTATTCAAATGATGGTGGAGTATCTGAACTTGGAATAACAAATCTCAATTCTCTGTTTCTGCTCAGACCCATCTAAAGGCAGTCACTTCCTGCCACTTGCCTTAAATAATTGATCTCTCAAATAGAACCCATGTTCCCTTCTCTCAAACCCTGCTGATAATGATGCCAGTGTAGATGAGGACCTGCACGATAAGCTTTGAAGGTAACAGGCATTATAACAGGGGTAAGCAGCTTTGGGAAAGTGGAGTGCTCTTTTGCTGACTTGTTCTGGGGGACTTTGCTGATTCTCGTGAGTATAACTGCTGGGTCCATTGATCTAGTACATCCTTGAATTTTTGAGTTTATAAAAATTCCTTATAAACTTCTTTATAAAAGTCACATGAATAAATTTATTTGAATGGTGGTATGATAGCAGCTATCCAGGATGCTAGCAAACATGAATTCACACAAAGAGAATGGAGTCCTCTGCAAGAAGTTGAATTTCCCCTTTTAGTTTCAAAGCACAATCTCAGATCATTCTGGGTTGGGGGAGTGGTGAGGCAGTCATAGTCTCCAAGCCTTTAGGAATATAATGAGATCCTTTCCTCCCAGGTCACTTCCTCCTTTTGGCTTAGCACTTTCATTCTTTATAGAGGCCATTATATAAGGTCACCCCTTTCCTCTTTCATTTCCACTTTATTGGCTTGAGGATGCACCTAATAGCATAAATACTGTCCACAAAAATTCCACCCCTAGCCATCACCTCCCCTCCATTTTCAGGAATCTCAAGTTGAGGGTTTGTAGTATATTTTGGTTTTGTTACTCATGAACAGTATACCTAGCTGAACTGGGACATCAGTGTATTGTTTCAGGCTGACTAGAGAGGAGCACTCCTAGAACAGAATGAATGTCATATCAGAAGGCTACCATTCTGACCATCATTAGTGGGCCTTAAAAAATCAGCTAGAAATGATGGAAAACTTATTAATGAAGAACGCTTAAAAGCTGGGCAAGTAGACAAAGTTTATTTTCTTTTCTAAATAACTAGCTGAAGGAAGAATGAAGAAAGTTCCAAATGTTTAGGAAACACCGACTGTGGCCAATCATTGTGTCAGGCATGCTCACATGTGCACATTTAATCCTCACAGTAGCCCTAACAAGTAGGAATTATAATCCTCATTTAATACATTTGGAAACAGGCTTAGAACGGTCTCCTGGTGGAAAAAATATCTGAAGACGTCCATTTCAAAAAAGCAAACATTGGCCATTTCTGAGTGATTTGGTGACAAAGTTTTCTTTATTGTCTAAATTTAACATAAAACATGTCATTTTCATTACAAAGTACAATTTTATGGAATACTAAATAAACATATATAAATAAGCCTTGGCCAACATTATAAACCAGGATCTGACATAGATATAAATCCATGACTTCCAACTTCCCTTGACGTAACATTATCTTCTCTTAAGAGATAGTCACTTTGGCTAATAGGGAAAAGAAGACCAGTAACATCAGAAAACAATTTCCATCTGGCCTGGTTCTGACTGGGGTCATCACTCTAAGCCTTATGCCTTACTTTGCTCTGACACTTCAGGATGTTCCCTCCTGGTATCAGCTGTGCACCAAAGCTAAAAGTTCACAAGATTCTCCTTGCCATTCTCAATAAATCAGTTTTGCAAAATCTCCAGGCCTTCTTGCAGAGTATTCAGGCATATAGGGTTGTACTTGATCAGCCATAAAGATGGGGCTCCCTTTAGGTCCTGCAGCAGTATGGCACCAGTTTGAAAGCCTCCATACAGTCCACATAATAATGAAAGTCAGAAAAAGACCATTCACCACTTATCTGCGCTTTCTAAAAAAAAAAAAAAAAAAAAAAAAAACAACCAGATACCTGGATGAGGGCCGAGACTGCCTCCCTCATCATTTCATTGTATATCTATGTTGAAACAGTCAGCAAGAGGAGAGATATCAAGTGCTTGCAAGGTCCCTAGGTCTGTCCTTACATTCAGACCTTTCCTTGCTACTTGTAATTCCTTGACAGAGACACTGTGGTAGTGAGTACTCAGGAGAGAAGCAATGAGAATGGGACAATTCTCTCAGGGCAAACATTGAATCCTCTCTTTCTGTTACAGAGTAAAGTTCCCTGAGTCCTGGCCTCGATTGTTCATGTAGATAGAATGGTAGCTATTGAAATTGTCCCTAGTTTAGTAATTCTCTCTGAGCTCCCTTAAGAGGGCCCAAGTACTCTTTCCATTTCTCTTGACAAAGAATAAAGAATGAGGCTAAGAGCCTTGGCCATCATATGTCTGTTGAGCACTTGATACTTGAAAAATTTAGATGACTGGGGGTGTAGAAGTTTTGAATAACCAGATATATACATATAGATAGATAGCTAAAGGTATTTCATCACTACATTTTCATTTTTTTTATTTATAAAATACTCCTTATGTATCACTCTTGTGCTAGGCATAGAAGATGCAATGCTGAATAAGACAATCAGCTTAGATTCCTTTTTGTGAAGTGTAACATGTACCCTTCCCAAATGTTCTATTAATGACAGATTCCTATCATTGGGTGCCTCATAATTTTGTATTATTCCATCACTTCTAAAGTCAAGGTCTACATGGTAATTTTCCTCAGTTTGAAGACAGTAGACATGCTTCCCTTCTTCTGTGGAGTTTCTGGTGTCTAAGAAGGCTTGATCGCCTACTAAAGTTTCTCTTGCATATGCTACATGTATAAGGCTGCTCACCTGTGTGAGTTCTCTGGTGTTTAATAAGGTGGGAGTTCTGAATGAATCTTTTTCCACATACATCACATTTAAAGGGCTTCTCTCCTGTGTGAATTCTTTGGTGTGTGTGTAGATTTGTGTTATGACTAAAGCTTTTCCCACACCATGAGCATCTATATGGTTTTATTCCTTGATGGGTCATGAAGTGCTTATTAAGATCTGAACTCCATCTAAACCTCTTGTCACATTGTTGACATTTATAGGGTTTCTCTCCAGTGTGAATTCTCTGGTGTTTAATAAGATCAGAGCTAACTCTGAAGCTTTTCCCACATTCCTGACATTTAAAAGGTTTCTCCCCTGTGGGGCCTTTCCCATGAAGATCCATAAGTTTTGGAAACTCTTGTTTACAAGTTGCAAGTTTCTTTCTTTTCTTCCTTGGAAAAGCTCGATGCCATTTCTGTACACTGTGTGTATCACCAGGATTTTCCCTGCCCATTGTTTTCTGGGCAATTTTCATTCTGGTCTTTTTTGATACTTTGCATCCTGATGTTTGTATTTCTGATGTAGAAACAGATATAGGATGATCATTTCCAGTGTCATTTTTTAGCTTTAACCCTGTCAGAATAAACAGAATAATCAGCCATCTGTGTCCCAGTGCAAGAAAGCTACATAAATGGAGAGAAAAGTCAGTGATGATTGCTTTAAAAGAAATACAGGAACAAGTGATTTCTGGTCCAGTCTGGACAAAATGGCATAGACCCATTTCTCCTTGATCCTCCCTGATGGGCACAACAATAAACCCATTAAGTAATATGAGATAACTAAAAGAAAATTCTTAAAATGTTAAGAAAAAGACAAACTGGTTTGGGACCCCACAACAAGAAAAATAACATAGCAGGGTGGCTTATATCCCCACACCCAACAGAAGAAGGCAATTATCAACAGAAGCCTGCCTGGGTAGGCTTATTGTTTCCTGAATGTAAAAAGAAGTGCAAATAAAGCCTTGTTGATTGAACTCTGGATAAAATAGAATATGTGACTAACACCAATGTGCAGTTCGTCTTGGGCAAACATACATGATTATATAACTTTAGCACTGGAGCTGCTGGAAAGGTAAAAGCTAAATGGAGTTTCTGCTCTTCTTTACGTTTTCCATGAACTAATGACAACTTCAGAAGACTAGTAGGATTGTGTACTTTGTAGTTCAGATGGCTACATTTTTTAGCATTAACTTGCAGCATATTTCACTATATTTGTAATTTTCTATTTATTACAACTGGACAGCTCTAAACTCTTATTACTACTTAGTATCTTGTAGCTAGGTAATAGTTCACTTTTTGCTTAATTTCTGCAAACCAATAAAAGAAAATGTATTTAAGTATCGAGATGTTCAAAGGAAAGAGTAAAAAGTATTCATGGGGAAAAAGCTCTGTTTAACACATGTTTTATTGGATTGCATTATTAGCTGATTTCACTCACTTTATATTTGCAAAATAATTGACATTTCTAATATTTATTGAAATTGCTTAATTTGCACACCCTGTACTCTACACACAAAAATGTATCAAATATAAGAATGAAGTTAAAATTGTTACTGATTCACTTTAGCAGCGTGAATTGCCCAGCTTTTTGAAGATACAAGCTATAATATTTGTACTTCCCTATGTCTGTGCCATAAATGCTTGAAAACATTAAAGTTTTCTGGTTTTATCTTTTATATCAAAATAATCAGTGTAAACCTTGGTTGGTCCCTGAGTTCACTGATATTTGAGGTAATGGGGACCTGTAGACATTCTGACTAGATTTACTACCGTGTGCCTTTGCCTACTTCTCTTTGATATAGCAAAATATTTAATTGAGAAATCACTTTATGTTACCATGGTGGATTTCCACTGTGCTATAGCCGTTTTCCTTTGGATTCCCATCAGTGGTGCTGCTCAGTGGCTTGCATATAGACTTGCTATGAAGAAATGCAGAGGCAGCCCATGCTGCCCTGTTTTAAAGTTGAACTCTTTAAGCCCTTGGGAGTGGGCTTCACCCACTATTGCAGAGGCATTTTGCATTTGTCTGTAACAAGAAATTCACCTTCTCAGGCCAGGCGCGGTGGCTCATGCCTGTAATCCCAGCACTTTGGGAGGCTAAGGTAGGTGATCACTTGAGGTCAGGAGTTCGAGACCAGCCAAGCCAACATGGTGAAACCATGTCTCTAATAAAAATACAAAAATTAGCCAGACATGGTGGCACACACCTGTAGTCCCAGCTACTCAGGATGCTGAGGCAGGAAAATTGCTCAAGCCTAGGAGGTGGAGGTAGGAGTGAGCCAAGATTGCATCACTGCACTCCAGCCTGGGTGACAGAGTGAGACTCTGACACACACACACACACACACACACACACACACACACAGAGAAATTCACCTTCTCAAACCAGTAAAATACAGACTTAATTCATAAGGACTGGAGCTACACATTGATATGTATCACCTTAGAGCAAGAGCTATGTTCTAGGAACCAAATCACAATTTTCAGTCATGGAACAATATATCCCATGGCAGAAGACTTTATGTGTGGTCTGCTCTATTTTCATGCGATAATTTAAACTTTGATTGCCCAGTAGTCCTTTAAGTTAACATTTCTGCTTACTGCTACTGGATTTTTGTTGCAAAAATATATTAATGACCCACATGAAACATATTAAGTGAATCATTATAAACAAAAGGGAAAAATGATTAAGAGAAAATTAAGTGACTATGTTACACCACTTATCCCAAACCAGAGAATAAGCCATTTCAAGCAACATCTTTGAAGAGTCATGTGGTGTGAATTGGTTTGTATATGTTGGTATGTATTTATTCACACATTCATATACACTCAAGATACAGTTGGCCTAATTATAAATGGGGGCATTGGTAAAACTTACGAAGTGTCCTCATACTGAATTGCAATTTTCTCTTACCTGTAAAGTAAAATTTAGATCAATCCCATGTCTTTGTTAAATATATTTTTTACCAGTCCTAAATTTAGGGTTTATTTCTAACTAGATCAAAATAAATGTAAGTTATGGAACTCATTTTGAATATGATGGATATGCTCTACATTTAAATTTCAAGAGGCAATAATACTATTGGAATTATGTGAATTCTAACTCATTTTAACAAGGCAACCTGACCTGCACAGGATCACTTGAATGTTATCTTTTTTAGGATTACACTAATATTCTTCTCACAAAAGGTCTATAAAATATTGTAGTTGGAAAAATAATTGTATCAAAATGTTTGGAAATTAGAAACTTTTCCTTAACTTTTATTGATATTGACTTGAATTATTATTTTCTAAACTAAGCCATATGCCTACCTGTAAATCTTTCCAAATAAAATTAAATTTATCATTTAAATTTTTGTTTGTATTGTTATTGTTGTTGATTTACAGATTAGTTATTAATTTTTTTGTAGAATAATGCCATTGATGTGCATGCTTTTATGTTTTTTAGAAAAGGGTGTATTTGGATGAAAGTTAAAAAAAAAAAAAAAAGCTAAAATCTTCCACAGTCAAAACAAAATAATTCTATTTAGAATGCGGAAGTGTGACATGTATTTATAAAAAGCTCTCGAGGGGATCCTAATAATCCATTTATTTCCCACACATCATCAAGTTGAAAATCAATCAGCTGTTGGAACACTGGGACTCTCTCACAGGGGTGCATTTTCCATAAACAGAGGACATAACATATTACTTAACTTCTACACAAAGGGAAGGAAGAATCTTTACCTAGAGAGATGACAGTCTCATAGATATCCTGCATTACATCATTGTAGAGAGTCTTCTCAGGAGGATCCAATAATTGCCATTCTTCCTCAGAAAAATACACAGCCACATCTTCAAATGTCAACAAACTCTAAAGAAGAGAATGGGCTATAGTTTAGTACTTGCCACTTCAGAAGCTGTCCTACCACCCATTTCTGAATTACATGGTAGGCCAGGTGCTGAAGATGTTAACAGTACAAGATTTAGAGTAAAAGAGTGAGAAGGCAGAAAGGAAGGAGCAAAGAGGATCAGTAAATCACCTGGGAGGTGCCCAATTCCCACTGTGCCAAGCCTAGTTGCCTAGAGAATAACTGGGGCTAAAATGTCTCAAAGCACCTGCTGGACACTATGAGTCCTAGGCAGTAGGGACAAGCAGAGACAAGGCCACGGTCAAGTCACCTGAAAAAAGCCAGAAATAACAGCTCACCGGGGACTCAGGCAGGATGAGTTTAGATGCCATCTTTCAGTCTTTGGTTCTTTTCTGCTCAGAAAGGGCTAACATCTGTTGATCATGCACAGCTGTGTGTAGAAAATAGTCAGGGAAAATTTCTCTTTCCTATTTACAAACATCCCAAGCTGATTTCTAAAATACAGAACATCAGGATGCCCTCAGTAAAGATGGGTCACATTGACAAGTGTGTGTGTGGTGCCAAGAAGTGGCCATCTCATTGTAAATAAGAACCAAATATCTACCACTCATACAACCTGTTCCCCAGTTCATGAATTCTTTAGATTTCACAAAAGAAATTAATCAAAGGAAATCTATTCATTTTTCCTCTCATAACATAAGCTGGGCAAGAATTGAAGGTTTGAAAATGAAGGGCTCAGGTCCTCCAGCGTACAGTAGGTAATGTGGGAGACTTTTGTTTTTTATTATTTTTTCCTAGTGCACAGTTTTCATCACATTCTGCCACTGATAGCCCATGTCTGACCCCAATTTTTCCTACAACTTGTGAGGGGGAGGTGGCCCCACCTGTCCCTGTTCCATCTTCTCCTCTCAAGTTTCAAAGGAGTAGAGTCTACAGTGTGAATAGCAGGGTTCTGTGGTTTGGATATTTCTGTCCCCCAGGCTGACCCCCACCTTCAACCACCATCGACCCACTATACTCCCACATGGGAGATATTATAGCTGCTAGCATGGCTGGCCACCTGGAAAACTCCCATGGCATTCTAGGTGAACTAATTACCATCACAGCTCCCAGGAGAAGACAATTATGATGAAGCTCCTCACCTCTTTCATATACAGGCTGGGTTTCTTTGTGAGTGTTCCAGCCCAGCTGTTCTTGTAGTACCCGGTATGTATTCCAATATTCTTTCTGGAACACACCCATTGGTTGGGGCTCTGCTGGCTTCCACTTGAAGCCTGGGGCCACTGCTGTTCCTCCCAAGAGCACTGCCTCCTTTCCCAGCTCATGGGCTGTGACCTAGAAATAATCCCCATCCTCATTAGCACAGAACTTACTTTTGGTTTTGGGGTGGTAGTGGAGGGAGGAACAAGAGCAGAGCCCAGATTTGGGGAGTGCATGACATTAGAGAAGTAATAAAAAGAATGAAGAGTGCCACTATGTTCTCATAAAGAACTATACTCAAAATCTGGGATAATTAGGATAAAATAGAAAAAGCTGTGACTACTGCAGATCCCCACCCCTCAACCCAGTGGCCCCCACCCTGATGCACAGAGCCCTGGCTCCAGCCACTAGCAAAGTTGGGTGGGCAGCCTGTTCCCCTGCTGGGTAACTTTCACTGGTTTGCTTTCTTGACTTGGATCCTTGTTTTAGTGAATTTTTATCTTTTGGTTTTCTGTAAAAGAAAAGGAATTGAGTAAAAAAAGCTTTCCTGTTAGCCAGTTTCCAATCATCCAGGAAAGAATTTCACAGGGAATGAAGATGGATGGAAGAATAAATGGGGGGAAGAGTTGGGCTCCAATCTCTCATCACATGATTTGGTAGTAATCAGACACCAAAAATATGCCCTGCCCTGGATTTTTCAAGGTAGGCTCCTGAAAAAAGGAAGTGTGCTGCCATCTTCCAAGGACAAACCTTGGTTTCCCACTCACCAGCAGGGCCAATGACAAGCCACTAAGTGAGGGCAATGCAGGTTCTTTCCTCCCAGCCCAGAGATGTGTGTTCCTGCTACAGAAGATACTACCCCTCAGCATCCTGATTCCCTCCACTTCTCTCTTGGCAATTGTCTTCTTTCCATATCCTTGTTTCCTTTTTTTCTTTCCATTTTGTTCTCTTTCTTTGCAGTCTCCCCAGAGCCGCTTGATTCATACTTCTGTTTGGTAACCTCTCTCTCCTTTGGTCTCTGTAAGTGCTGCCTATCTTGTGGATCTTCTCCCCTTTCCCAACTCTTTCTTGCCCTTTATTTCTCTGTTTCTAAGAACTCAACTCTTTTCTCCTTGCCCATGCCAGACTAGGCCCACCACCATCAATTCACCCTGGCCCTAGAGAAGACAAAATGCATTTATTTCCTCTAAGACCAGGAAACGTTGTACTAGGAATTTTGAAACCTGTGGACTGACTATTGCTGCATGTATGTCATTTTAGATCCTTGCTAGCTGTCCTAAATGAGCAACAGAAGAGGAACTTAGTCTAGTTCTCTGATAACTCTTCCATTCTGATATATTCACTTTTATCCTACTTCATTGTACATGTAGGGAATCTTTCTTCTTACCTCATTCTTTGTTCCATCAGGCTCCCTCTGCAAGAATTCCACCAGGACCAGAGCCTGTTTGACATTCTGTGGATGATGCTTCTGCACCCAGTTCTGGGTCTCCTTGGGCAGAATGCTCAGGAACTGCTCTAACACCAGCATTTCCAAGATCTGCTCTTTTGAGTGGATCTCTGGCCTCAGCCACTGATGGCATAATTTCTGAAGTTGGCTGATGGTCTCAAGCGGTCCAGTTGCTTCATGATAACGGAAGCTCCAGAAGTGCCTGCAAGCGCTCTCAGGACCAAGACTCTCTATTTTTGCGCTGTATTTCTTACTCTGACTGAAGTTCTCTTTCACAGACCCACTAGTCTCCCACATAGCCCCCATCTGGGGGTTTGAGCATGAATCCGCCTTCAGCTCTCTCATCGTCATTTGCTCTAGGAACAGTTTTACTCTTGTGTGTGACACTGACACCCACCTGGTACCACCTTTGACAAATGAGGATGCATCAGGTTTGGTACCAAATCAATGAATTGTTCTTCCCAAGAGCACTGAGGGAGAGCAGAAGAAAAGTACATGTCAAGAAGAAAACCACATGACACATATTTACTTGCTATTTATTGTAAGAGGAAAATGAAGAGAGAAGTTCCTGTCTGGCTTCTCCTCTAAAATCAACTGTCAAGAATTGGAACATTCATGATGTTAGATTACTCAGAAGGTAAGTTTCTCTCCTTTTCTTTGTTTTTCAACTTTGAAACAAAGCATAGCTAAGTGAAGACAAATGCCAATCAATGTATTTCCTGGTTTTTTTTTTTTTTTTTAACAGTTGAGGAAAGATTGGTGGGTGAGAAAACTGGCACCAATTGGCCAAAAGGAACTTTGAGATTATCCAATACTTAATCTGTGGGTTTCCTGTCCTATATTGGCAAATAGGGCCTATTTGAGTTTCTTGAAACTTTAACAGATCATCCCAATCATTTTTCTTTAGTCAGAGGAAAAATAGTTTCTATACCCCTTCATCTCACTTAGACTGAAGACTTTACTAAATGGAACTCTTAATATTCCCTTTTATACTGTATCAATGCTGGTAGGAGAACTGAGACAAGATCAGAGTAGAAGTAACTAGAGAAAAAGTAAGCAAATGTCCCCCCACTAAGCAAGCAGATCATCAACATTTGATGTGGCAAGGTGTAGTACTTCTTTGAAAGACTTATAAAGGGTACTGCACAGGTTTGTACTTGTGTATTAAATCTTTTGTTTACTTTAACTGGAAAACTTTACAGATGGCCTTCCTTTACACATATACAAATGTCAGGTGGTTAAAAACAAAAACGAAAGAGAGATGGTGATGATTAAGGTTCTTCATAGACGAGAAGGGTCCTAGTCATGGTAACCTTTCTCCTGACTTAACATGTCCTCAAAACTGATTTTCCCGAGGTGATCCAGCAGAAATAGCAACAAAATTATTTCAAGGATGCCACAGGTATTCAAAATAATGGTTGGCTCCTTGCTGACCATTCAGGCTCAGGAGGTACAGGAACACTTCGTGTGTGTGTGTGTGTGTGTGTGTGTGTGTGTGTATTTGTCAGCAGAAGCCATTGTCTTTAATGTTGAAATGACCCTTTCTTTAGTGTTATGTTCATAAGCCATCAAAAATTAGGAAGTTTCGCTGGGTGTGGTGGTAGACATTACTGCCCCAAATCCCCATCCCTGATTCACTACAACTTCTAGATCAACCACAGGGGTGCCCACAAGAACTCTGAACGTGGGCAGCCTTTGAGTGTGATTCACTAGCATCCCTGGGTTATATTTGTACATCCGGTAGAAAGAAGTTGCTTCCGTAGGTAAGAAGTGGCTGTAGGAGCCCGCGGTCAGGCGGCCTCGCTGTGGACAAGTCCCACCAGCTCTCCAGCCGATCTGCCGCCTGTCAGTGGCGCCACTGCCTACTGAAAAATACTGTATCACGTCCCCCACCCCCATTCCTCGCTACACAGCAGCCCCAAAGGCTGCAACTGGCAGGAGGGGCCGGTATTTCTCAGGGGATCGCCAGTCAAATCTAAAGAGAAAATCAGCTTCTCGGTTACCTTCAGTCAGCTCTGGCTTCCCCGGAGGCCACTTTCCTCTTCCTCCGCTCGACTGCGCCTCTGTGGCCACGCCTCCCTGCTCTGGGTAGCAAAGCTCTCCGCTGCTGCGCGAATGTCAGGAAAGCGCGGGATGCCTGGCGAGTGAAGCTCCAAGATTTGGGGAGTCTTGGAATATCAGTTCCCTCATTCGATCCCTCCACCTCCCGAAGACCTGACCCCGACTCACTCTTCCAGGGTCGAGGTCTGTGGACCTGAACCGGAATCAACCAGAAAATGAAAGATGCATTTCCGGTGGCTTTGTGACAGCTACGCCCAGCCATCCCCCTCCCTCTACCTGCGAAGTCTCAGCCTAGCCAAGTTAGGAACTGTCCCGGGGGTGCTTTCCATCCTAGAAGAACCAACCTCCTGCTCCTGTTAGGTCCTGGGTGCAAGAAAGAGTTAATGCTACCGGGTCTCTAGCCCTGCTGGAAGGCTAGAGAAGCCCCTCAAATGGCTCTTCCCTGGGAGCCATGTAGCTTAGAGACTCCTGGTGCCAAGGTCTCCTGTCCCTGATTTGCCAGGTATTGTGCATCCAGATTGTTCCTGCTGGCTTCCCGGAGGCTGGCAGCCCATTCTACTAGGAGCCTCACCCAGTAAGGGTTGCCACCGCAAAGGTCTAGGGGCCACAGAAGAGTGGCTCACAAAGTCAGAACCACTTCAGCACTCTCGTGGGCAGAGCTGTGTACTGGGCCTTTCTGAGTCTCAGCCAGAGAGAGCTCCACCTGTAGTCACTAGACTTATCAAAAGCCTCCTTGAATAAAAGGCAATTTGGTCCTGGTCAAGCCTCTTGTTAGATCAGAAACAACAGCCCCCTATATTTTCAAAACCATATTCTAGTTATCAGACACATGCTCCCCAACAGTTATCTTGTTTTACTCTTGTTAGGTAGATTTTAACCTTTTGACATAGGTCCCATTTATACTTCTCTTTGACATATAAATAATTTGAAATGGTATGACATGACTTCACCTACTACTTCATGTTCAGGGTCACAGAGATTACCGGTGGCAGATTTTAGCCAGGACTTTAGGTATCCTGTTGTCATATCCTGTCATTTTCTACTACATTATGCTTTCCCTGGAGGACAGAAATCTTGCTTCCATCTTTATCTCCTGCAGTGCTTAACATAGTTCTCTGGGTAAGGTAAGTATTTCATATTTACAGAATCATCTTTCTAAAAAGCCGAATATCTTGGATTGTCAGTATTCTCCAAGTTTTCAGTATTTACCAAGTGTTGAGCCATTTGGACAAAAAGCGCCAATGTGAATCTAACAGGAGAAACTGGGTGTAGCTTAGTTTTACAATGGGGATGAAACTGACATATTTTGGAAGCCAGTGTGAAAACCAACTCAGTCAAGCCAAAGAGATGTCTGCATGTCCAGGAGGAAAATAAAAAGCACCTGTCTGACTTTTTATATATAAATGCAGATGATACTAAGTTAAAGTCAATCATCATTCAAAACTGAAGCTCCCCAAAGGTATGTAAAAGGACACAGTGCATTATCTATGATATATAAACTTAGTAAAAATGTTTGGTTCACCAGAGCATTGTCTTCAGAATGGTTCTTTCAAAACTATATTCCGCAAGTCAGGCATTTTCAACATAATATTTTATAACTCAATGAAGAGGAAGTCAGGGCACTGTG